CAAATAATCCTCTTCACAGTAGACGAGTAGTTATAGTACACTTGGCAAGATATATGTCGATCATATAGACAGTAATCCCGTTCACTATAGGACAATTATCATACCGTTGACATATAGTGATCGAGCTATATAGACATAGTACTCTGGTCACATAGACATATTAGTATGAAGCCTTGACAGTGATATGTCGATTGAACTAGAACATAATCTTCAGCATAGACAATATAAGTAGGCTTGAACATATATGTCGATAGTAGTAGACATATATCTCTTCGCACATAGACCATATAACATCCCGCGCACAGCTCTCTTCCGATCACTTAGCACCTTACGCTTCTGCATACTGTCCCGTCCACGGCGGGCCAAACCTCCCGGGAGTCATATAGATCCAAACACGCACCGATGTCATGATCTGTCTCATCCCCATTCCTATTTTTGTCTTCCTGGCTTACCGATGCTGTTTTGCTGAGTAGAACGTAGTTTGTATGTATTAATTTATAGTAGAGAAATAAATCAAGAAGAAATATAATTTTGTGTTCACATAAGAAATATAATTGTTTACACAACACAAAAAGTCAGAGGTCGAGTCGTCCATGTCTTTCCCACCGTTCCCAACGCGTGCCCCGTTATCCATTACCCAGCTCTTGGCCGCCTTCAAATGCCTCAAAGTCTTAATATATCACTCTTTTATCATCACTACGGCCCAGCTCCCACTCTACCCTCAGTCCAATCACACACACGCAACACTACTGCTATTCGAATTGATTGCGCGCGACAAAAGCCACAATGCTGACCGGCAGATGTGTAACGGCGTCCACTTTAGTCCCCAACGCCGCTAGCTCTTTGCTCATCTCGTATGCTAAACGCCGAAGCCCTCCTTCTATGTACATACTGAAATCCTATCTCCCCAATTACTAATGCAGAATGAACATGTGGTAAAAACGCAGATGTACATTGCGTCTCTCTTTGTCTACCTATGTTTTTATTAGCGTGCACCTATATCTAGACAAGAATCAGTATCAGAATCAGTTCACTTCAGTAAATGTAGTTTGTACCCCTTGCAATGTCGCACAAGACAGTAAGACTGCGATGGTATTTGTGTGTGTGTGCGTGCGTGCGTGCGTGCGTGAGTGTGCTAACGATTGACACGTATTACATTATTTGTCCATGCAGGCAAAAGCAACGAGCTTCTCATGTCAAATCTGTGGGAAAGAAATCAAGAACAAAGCGTCTCTCAACTACCACTTCATGGCCGAGCACAACGGGCTGGTACGTACACAACTTCTGCCGTGAGCATAAGTGGCGCTAGTGTGTGATTATAAGAACATAGGTAGCACTAGCGTGTTCTTATAAAGACAGATGGCACTAGCGTGTTCTTATAAAGACAGATGGCACTAGCGTGTTCTTATAAAGACAGATGGCACTAGCGTGTTCTTATAAAGACAGATGGCACTAGCGTGTTCTTATAAAGACAGATGGCACTAGCGTGGTTCCTTATAAAGACAGATGGCTAACTAAGCGTGTTGCTTATAAAGACAGATCGGCACTAGCGTGTTCATATAAAGACGAGATGGCACTAGCGTGTTTTATAAAGACAGATGGGCACTAGCGTGTTATTATAAAGACAGATGGCACTAGCGTGTTCTATAAGAGACAGATAGCACTAGCGTGTTTCTATAAAGACAGATGGCACTAAAGCGGTGTTCTTATAAAGACAGAAATGGCACTAAGCGTGTTCCTTATAAAGACAGATGGCACAGCGTGTTCTTAATAAAGACAGATGGCACTAGCGGTTGCTTATAAAGACAGCGATGGGCACTAGCGGTGTTCTTATAACAAGACAGATGGCACTAAGCGGGTGTTTCTTATAAAGAGTCAGATGGCATAGCGTGTTCTTACAAAGACAGTATGGCACTAGCGTGTTCTTATAAAGACAGATGGCAGCTAGCGTGTTCTTATAAAAGACAGATGGCACTAGCGTGTGTGCTTATAAAGACAGATGGCAGCTAGCGTATTGCTGTATGAAACAGATGGCACTAGCGTCATTCCTTATGAAGACAGATGACACTAGCGTGTTCTTATGAAAACGGATGGCACTAATGTGTGCGTATAAGAACATAGATGCCACTATTCTGTATGGGAACATAGAGGGCGCTAGTGTATTAGCATAGAGGGCGCTGACGAGCGGGAACCTCCTCGGCGTTGCAGGAGGAGGAGATGCGTGACGATGACTCGCCGGATAAGCGTCGAACAGGGCAGAACTGCCTCGCGCTCAAGGTCGTGCTGAAGAAGCAAGGCAAGCTGCGATGCCAGGTGCGGGACTGCGGTCGCTCCTTCCTCTCGGCCGACGGATACCTCTACCACTGGAAGACGTGCGGCAAGGAGGTAAGCTTAGATAGAAAGAGAGAGTAGGAGAGCAGAGAGCGAGAGACGAGAGAGATGCGAGAGAGAGAGAGAAGAGCGAGAGAGAGTGAGGAGAAAGATAGAGAAGAGATAGAAAAGAGCAGAGAGCGAGAGAGAGAGAGAGAAAGAGGAAGAGGAGCAGAGAGGGAGAGAGAAAGAGAACGAGAGAGAGAGAAGAAGAGAGATAGAAAGACAAAGAGCGAGAGAGAGAGAGAGAGAGATTTTAGAGAGAGAGAGAGAGAGAGAGATAGGAAAGACAGAGAGAGAGAGAGAGAGAGAGAGAGAGAGGTAGAGTGAGAGAGGCATAGAGAGTGTCTGAGTGTGTGCGTGCATGCGTGGCATATGCGTGTATGTGTGAGAGCGAGCGAAAGAGAGAGAGAGAGAGAGATTCTCACCCAATGTCTCATCTCACCTGTGTCTCATTCTCACCCAAATGTCTCAATCTCAGCCTGTGTCTCATTCACCTGTGTCCTCTATCTCACTTTGTGTCTCATCTCACTGCTGACAGTCGTTACAGGTGATATACGGTCGACTGCGAGGCTGTGCGGAAAGAAGCTGAAAGCAGGGAAGCCTCACCCTACCTACATGCGAGCAGCATGCACTGGAAGGAGGAGGCGGCCCAGAAGCTGAGGGAGGAGGTCTGTGAAGGAAAGGAGATCGGGGTAGGAGACTCGCGGACGCCCGATGCGGAAGAGGAGCGGCCACCGCTCGCGGAGAGTACGTGGAAGCTCGCCGAGCGTAGGGTGGGGTAGAGAGGAGAGGAACATGGGAGGAGCGAGAGATAAGCTAGGGAGAGGAAGGGTGGAAGTGTCAGAGAAAGGAAGAGAGCAGGAATCAAGTGAGTATGTTGGGGGGAGAGGCCAGATGTGCAGGAAGAAGAGAGAGGAAGCTTGTGTAGAGTAGTTGAAAGATGAGGATGCTGTGAGATCATGTGAAAAATGGGGAGATCAGAGGAAGGAGAATCCTATGATCATGCAGCATAGTGTCTATTAAGCAGCTAATTCTCGTTAATTAAACTCGTTGTTTTTGTTGCAGAAGCTGCGCAGATGCGTGAGAAGATGGCTTTCAGACATTGCAGAGTCCGGCAAGCAAGAGCAGTGATAGCAAGAAAGGAGACGGTACTGCACTGTGTGTGTGCGAGTGCGTGTGCGTGTGCGTGTTGCAATGCACGTGCGTGGTAGCGTTTGTGCGTGTGTGTGTGCAGCATACGTACGCATGAGATAGGCATGTTGTAATGCATTATTTCTGTGTTACATCTCATACTATGCGGGCAATGGGCTTAATTAATTGGTCAGTGGCATTTGTTACAGAGCCGGCGCACCGCGCTGAAGTCACGCAGTGAGCGCACTATTAATATAACATCTAATTATTAAACATGTTGTTCTCAAAGGTTCTTCCCATAGAAAGTACCAGACTTCGCTTCGCTGTTACTCCTGAGATGCTCTCAAGCCTGGAAGCAGGAGCTGAAGAAAGAATGGCTTCATACATTGGGCGAGTTCCCAGAAGTCGCTAGAATGCATTTGCTCCGTCGGATAGGCTATGCATCATGAAAGGATGGGATGTATAGCTGTATGATTCCGCGTTTGCTGGATGAATATCGTAGGCCGTGCATCGCTTATGGAACAGGGTTACGTGTCGTTACTGCATTATGGTATTGTTGTTAGCATGCTGTGCTGTTAAGGCGGCACTGGTTCCGCGTGGTTTGCTGGCAGAACTGGTTCATGCTTGTATGTCACGTGTCACATGTTGTCACAGAACTGTTACATAGCCCATACCACCACAGAACTATTCCATGGCCCATACCACCGCAGAACTATTCCATGGCCCATGCCACCGCAGAACTATTCCATGGCCCATACCACCACAGAACTATTCCATGGGCATACGCAGCCGCAGAATATTCCATGGCCCATACCACCACAGAACTATTCCATGGCCCATACCACCACAGAACTATTACATAACCGGCCCAACGTTGCATTGCAGAACTGCCGAGTCGGTTCGAGCGACTGCAGGCATACAGGCGACACTACATTCGCTGCCCCTGGCTCCCCACACGACCCGGGAAGCTTAACGCCTGCCTCTCCTGCCTCCAAGGAGTACTCCACGCCGGAGGGAATCAAGTGGCACATCAAGCATCACCACACGGGCGAGGTGAGTGGTAGTCCGCGCGTCGTCAGCGTGCGAGAGATGACAACCACTACGATTTATCCGTATTTTAATGCGAATTTGCGTTTGGCATTTTGACACTCCGACCAGTTGCATACAACTACGAATTATTTATTACGATTCGAAAAAAAAATATTTTATGATATTTTCAAGGTGGTTTTGCTTCAGTGTTAGCATTGATATACATGATTGAAAATAACTAAGCATGTATTTAGGGCAGCAAATATCAGTGTGAAGCTTATTGTCATTTTGGGTCCGGCAGAATGGCAGGAAATTGGCAATCTCAAAATCAAAAATTTCTGTGGGGGCATGCCCCCGAAACCCCCCTAGCATACTCGGGTCAACTGCGTGACCCTCGCTACAGATTTCAGACATCCTCCACTACAGTTTGCTCAGAAAAGTGTTGGCATCTCTGGCGTGCGAGAAACGCGGGCCTGGATCGCGTCTCGTTAAGTTTTCGACGGTCATCACGCGTGTGTGTGTGCGTCGGATGAGGTGCGTGTAAAGCTCGGTTTACACTACAGACTTCATGCTGGCGAATTAGTGAGTTGGCATACCTGGTAGGTAGGTAGGAGATACCTGGTAGGTAAAAGATGGGGATGCTATGAGGTGGTGAAAGATGGGGATGGGGCCTGCTTAACGTGGCGCGCAAGACGGGAGGCGGCCACCTGGGCTGGGCCACTGAAACGAGGTTTGTTAATTTTTGGCATGGCTTCCTTTAGGCTGACGATGACTACAAGGACCAACCTGGGAGTGGTTCCTCCCCATCCGATGAGAATGAGGACGACAGCATCATGGAGTCAGGTAAGACAGATGCTGAGGATTGTTATCAACACACGTAGACGTAGAGAGAGAGGGGAGAGTGAGAGAAATGGAGAGATTAGGAGAGAGAGAGAGAGCAAACGAGAGACTCTGAGAGCGATAGCATGAGTGAGAGAGAGCAAGAGCAAGTGTCTGTGTGTGTGTGTGAGAGAGAGAGAGAGCGAGAGAGAGAGAGAGAGAGAGAGGAGAGAGAGAGAGCGAGCGAGAGAGAGCGGAGAGCGAGAAGAGAGAGAGAGAGAAAGAGCCTTGTGACATTATATTGGCAGTGGCCAGCGTATACTTCTATAATAGGCGATAATTTTCCAGCTTCCCTTTGTTTTAAGTACTGAGAAGCAAGTAACAATGCAAGCGGAAATGGCATTCTACAACTCGACACACGTGCTGCTATATATAGTTTTAAGACACTAAAGACACCACCCATAAAAAGCATGAAAATACCATGCTACGTAACGCGCTCGCTAGTGATGCAGATGAAGATATATCCCACGCCTCGCCACTGTCGTCTCTCTTCTCACTGTCTCCCTCCTGTCTCTTTCTGTCCCCAACTGTCTTCCTGGCTGACTGTCCCCTCTCTCTCTCACTGTATCCCTCCCCTGTCTCTCTCTCTGTCCCACTGGTCTTCCTGCCTGACTATATCTATCTCTGCCGCACTGTCCTTCGCTGAGCTGACTGTCCTCTATCTCCTCACTGTCTTCCTGACTGACTGTCTGGCTCTCTGCGCCCACTGTGCTATATCCTGACATGACTGTCTCCTCTTTGCCCCGGCATGCGTAGGTGAGGAGGGGGCCGGAGCACTGTTCGACGACGGAGGGAAGGGACTCGTGAGCACTCACGTTCGCAGAGGGCTCCATGATCCCCTGTCGACTGTTCCTCGAGCAGACGCTTACATTTAGTAAGTAACGAGACGTCTTAACGAGATGCGCGGCGTGTCCCCCCCCCCCCCCCCCCCCCCCCCACCCCCCCCCCCCCCCCCCCCCCCCCCCTCCTTCTTATCATTTTTACTAACGACATTTCTTAATTATTGTCTAACTGACTTCATTTTAACTGGTAAGTAACGACAGGTCTAGCAAGACGTGTGCGCATACACTCGTGATGTTGTCCTTCCCCCGCCCTTTTTTTTTTTGAAATCAGCGCGTATGCATGTGTATGCATGTGTATATGTGTGTATATTTATATATATACATATATACTATACATGTATATCACGTAGCCTTATGGTACTAACAATGTGTGTACTGTAAATGTCTAATGTCTGCATATTAACATAGGTGACGTGTAGGTGGAACTGTGGGGCGAACTGGCGTAATCTAGCAAGTAGTTCTGTCTGAATAGGAATGACTACAGGTAGCGCTGTCTTTACAAGAATAACCACCAGGCTGGTGCTGTCTGACAGGGCATTAAATTGACTACGTCACAGAATTTTCTATGGTGATATTATGTAAAAATTTGTTTGGCCAATTTTTTTAACATTAAAAGTAAGTACTAATGGGACATAAACGTATCGTCAGGTTTGTTAGCGCCGATAGATTGTTTCTCACTAGTTAAAATCCAAAAAGCCTGCGACGATTTGATAATATGATCTTGACATTAATTGCTGCTATGGGCTATGTATGATCACGAGGCATATATTTTACATTAAACAATATAGTAAAATAGGAAGTATAGTGCAGCAATTTAAGCTCATAAAAGTAAACAGAAATTACTATACATTTTGTGAAAAAGTGGAATATATTTTCTTTACTTAGCTATTTACGGTAGACGGTAAATTACTTTAACCCACTAGGTGGTGCTGTCTGAAACAGAATAACCACAGAGTGGGTGCTGTCTGTACAGGAACAACCAATAAGGTTGGCACTGACTGAACAGGATAACCCGCATAGGGTGGCGCTGTTCTAACCAAGTAATAACCTTCGTGAGGACATGACTTGATGTTTGACGTGTCTTTTACAGGCCAATAACCAGCACTACCAGGCATGGCTGGTTCCACAGTGGGTGCGGCCAAAGGATAGCGGCCGCTGGACCGCTGTGGGCTCAGGAGGAAGGTTGATTCGTACCTTCCCCCGCGGAGAAGGAGTCTGCCGTGGCTTCAGTACAAGGCGAGTGAGGAAGGACGCCCCGCAGCGACCGCGCCGCATACGATTGTTTTCAGGTGAGAATTCCTGCTCTGTTGTGTGTGTGTGTTTGTCTGTCTCTTTCGCTCTCTGCTGCTGCTCCTCTCTCTCTCTGCTTTCTCGAGAGTCTTTGCTCGTCTGCTCATCTGCTCTCTCACACTATGGTTGCTCTCTCTCTTTTCTGCCACGCTCTGGCTTCTACTGCTTTCTCTAATATGCTTTCTCTGTCCCTGTCTCGTTCCTTTCTCTCTCTCTGCTCTCTTCTCCTCATCTCTCTCGTCTCAATCTCTCTCTCTGCTCTCTCTCTTCTCATCTCTTTCTTTCTCTCTCTCTAGTCTCTTCTCTCTCTCTCTCTCTCAGATGGTCCATCTCTCTCTGCTTGTCTCTCTTCTCTTCCTCATGTCTCTCAAGTCGGGTCGCTCTTCTGCTCTTCTTTTCTCCAACCCTCGCTCAGCTTAGGTCCAACGATGCCCTCGATCCTCCGGTATCTTTCTCTCTTTCTCGTCTATCCTTTCTACTGTACCTGTCTCTGCTCTCTC